CAAAATCATCTGTGCTCATTCTAGAGAATTTGGAAAGAAAAAAGAAACAAACAAAAAGTCACCTATAGCTCCCCCCGTCCTAGAAGAAATCTCTGCTAATATTTTGCCATGTATCTTTCTTTCTGGTCTTTTTTGCCTCCTTTATATATATTTTTTCCATTGCTTTTCAGAGAGAGTGAAGAGTGGAAGGGAGAGAGGGAGGGGGACAGAGAAAGAAAAATTGATGTGAGAGAGACACATCAACTGGTTGCCTCCCACATGTGCCCTGACGGGGGTGGGGAGCAAACCCACAAGCCAGGAACGTACCCTTGCAAGGGAGTCAAACCTAAGACTCTTCAGTGTGCGGGCCGGCACTCTAACCATTGAGCAACACTTAAAAAGTTATCGTTACATAGCTGTCATCAAAAAGACAAGAGATAACAAGTGTTGGTGAGAGTGTGGAAAAAGAGGACCCCTTGTACCCTGCTGGTGGGAATATAAATTGGTGCAGCCACTATAAAAACATATGAAAGTTGCTAAAAAATTAAAAATAGAACTACCATATGATCCAGCAATCCCACTTCTGGGTATTTATTCAAAGAAAGGAAATGACTATCTCGAAATGACTATTTGCACCCCAATAAAAAATCTTGTCAGGTGCAAGTTAAAATAAAATATTATAGACGGAGAAGAAGTTAGAGGGGGATTTGAGGTGGTAAAATGTCGGTAGAGTTAGGATATAATGATCATTTAGCTCCCATAATGTTGGAACTGACTGATTCAATAATCAAAACTGGACTTGATCTCATCCAGTGTTCATAATGCTTTCGTACTAACAGTTGAATATTTCACAATAAACATTGCTGATGGAGGAAAAAACACGTATTTCTTCTTGTTCAAAATGGCCACCTTTGCATTCATGTTTCCATACGTCTTTCTCTAACCAAGGATCAGATGTCAGCAGAATGACCTACTTGAAAGAGCGTTGACAGATGGTCAAAAGCAACATGCCATGTAGTTTGGAAAGGCTGGTTTCTGCACTTGCCCTAGACCGACCCAGGGTGGTAGGGGCTGGGCCCTCCCGCAGAGCGGCTGGGTAACTCTAGGCCTTTTAGGTTTCTTGCCTTTGTGCATCCTGAAAGCCCGCGCTGGGGAGGTAAATCTATAATTACGGGTTATTTAAAACAGAGATTTGTGACCTGACAGACTGCAACCTGTCTGTATCCATACATAGTGAAAACTCTTTCCAGCCCTTTGTCTGGGGGTGTGCATGGTCTATTGAAGGTTCCAGAGCTGCTTGGGCTCATGTTACATTGTCTGAGAGAAGGAAGGGTGTGTGGGACTTAATCTACTGGGTATCGGAATAGCAACTAAAAATGATACATCTTATTAGTTGTTTCATTCTTTATGCTAAAAGTAATCATCTTGAGTTCAAGTTTGACTTCAGCTCCCCTCTTTAAACCAGTGCTGAGTGCTCAGAACCTCAGGGTCAAGCTTCAAACTTAGTAAGAGGAAAGAGAATTCTTTGTGCAAGGTGAATAAAAGCTACAGGACAATACACAATAATCCTTAACGTTCATAACAGTACGAGGAATTCAAAGCTCCTGAACAGGAGAGTAGTATTTTAAAATGTTTTACAGATTTCAAATTCCATCGCAATCATTCTAATTGGTAAGTATTTACCGAGTACTGTTGTGTTTACAGCCCTCATATCAGTGCTGCCTGTATATGTCAGGTAGGTGCTTATGAAAGGTCATTCCTTATGAGCTGTTGCTGTGTCCTGGGCCCCCATCTCTCTCTGCACATTGCATTTCCATTCATTTTGTGTCTTTCCTTAAAAATGAGCATATTTACCAACCTGTGATTAACACAGAGATATAAAACCTTTATGAGGTACCTAAAATGGCAAGGCAAACTTGCATTCCCATTTATAGAATCCTATAAAAAGACTATATATTTAAACACTACAAATATACAGGATGTCCCAAAAATGTATATACACTTTGAATAATTATAAAGGTAGTATTTATTAAAATACATTTCATTTTCAACATGTAATAGAATCAGCTGTTAAACTGTGTATTCCTTTTTTTTTAGGACACCCTGTATATATCTTGAATGACAGGACAAAATTTAAAAAGGTTGTACTGCCCGTGGCAGGCGGGAAGCTTGGCTTCCTCCATCATTGGGGCGTAATTTCTCTTCCTCCCTGGCTGCTTGGAGAGCAGCTGCCATCATGACGACACAGTAACTATCCAGACCAGGAAGTTCATGACCAACACAGGACTTTAGCAGAAATAGGTGTCATTGACGTCCCTCACCCTGGGAAGGCAGCAGTACCAAAGACAGAAATTTGGGAAAAACTAGTCAAAATGTACAAGATGCCATCTTGGTATTTGGATTCAGAACCCATTTTGGTGGTGGTAAGATGATTGGCTTTGGCATGGTTTAGGATCCTTGGATTACACAAACAAAAGTAAACCCAAACAAATTTGCACGACATGGCCTGTATGAGAAGAAGACGACCTCAAGAAAACAGTGAAAGGAACATGAGAAGAGAATGAAGAAAGTCAGGGGACTGCAAAGGCCAAGGCTGGGCTGGCAAAAAGAAGTAAAAGTTCTTCAGTGACTTTATCTGTGGTGATTGTGAGGCTTTTTCATGAGCATTAATAAACTAAGAACTTGGAAAAACGAGATTTATCTACACTGATGCAAGTAAGCTATGCCATCCATTTGAATTAGTGTTCAAATCCCATTGCATGAATATACCACTGTTCATGTATCATTTCCCTTCTGAGGGGCATTTAGTTTGTTTGCAATATTTTACTGATATACAATGTTACTATGAATGAACCTTCCTTCCCTCCCTCTGATTATCTCTACCTTCATAGTAATATACCTTGAACTGACCACTTTAACTTTAACTTATTTCACAAGTACCCCAGTCCAAGCCATCACTTTCTCCTCCAGGGACTCCTAAGTTTCCCTGGCTTCCACTTTTGCTCCCCTCCCGTTAAATATAGTTCACACAGCTCATGGGGTCAGATTGGATCTTTCCTTCAACAAAATCCTCCCCATCCTACCTGGGATAAAATCTAAAACCCCACGTCATCTGGCCTCTCTCCCTCTCTTTCCGCTACTCTCGATGGTCCAGCATACTGGGTTTCTGGTCACTCCTGGAATCGAACCCGCGATCCTTCAGTCTGCAGGCCCACGTTCTAACCACTTAGCAAACTGACCAGAGCTTATTTTTTATTTTATTTCAAAAACAAAGATAGAAGAAAATATGCTAGGTGCAACAACTAAGTTGAACCCGCAGTGTGAAAAACTTTGTTTTAGGGTATATATCTGCAAATGGTTTTGTTGGGTTTTACTAATCACTCTTGAATTGCTCTCTACTAACATCATTGCAGGAATTTCCTCATCTCTTTAGCCAACACCTGGTCTATCAGGCTTTTAACTTTTTTCCAGTCTGAGTGAAACTGTATCTCCTTGTTTTAATTTGCATTTGCCTGATTACTAAAAAGACTGTCAGAGATCTGATCCTTTAAAATGTATGTAAACCAAAATTATTTTCTAGTGCCTCCGGAGGGCTAAGAATTTTCCTTTCAGAACCTTTCATAGGCAAAGGGACTTAATCTTCTACCTTATGCATTTCACAATTTCAAATTCTCATATATTTAATTTTAATGGCCCACGATTGCTTGGCCAAGGACACAGCACTAACAATTTTAGTTCATTCACCATTCATATAGTTGTTTATTTGCTCAACAAATATTTATTGAGGGCCTGTGCTACCGCAGGAATTTCACCAGGCAGACCAAAAGCCTCTCCAGGCGCCTACCTTGAGACAGTGAGCTCTTTGTCCCCGGCACTGTGGCACTGCGGCCCTGGGTAGGCGTTTTTTTAGAAAGGTGGGAAGACCTGGCAACCAAATTCCTTCCAATTCTTCCAATCCATTGTTCTCGTGCATTATTACTTGCTCACAAATGTTTGCATTAATTGCATTGGAAGAGGAACGGAATGTGTTTACGCATGCTCTCTTACTACAAAGGAATTATTCCAGAGAGAAAAAGTTTTGAAGGGGGAAAATGGAGTGTTTATTTCAAGCACTTGTTTTAAATGTAAGATTATAATTAGGGTCTTTTAAAACAACCCAGATTATTTTGCTTTTTCTTCTAAAAGCAATTCTCCCCCGCTCGTTACAAAATTTGTCTCTTCATTTCGTCGTCGCAGTGTCAGATTTGAGTAAAAGAGCAATGAAAAATAGCTCACGTTCATTCTGATTTTGCTGATTCTAATTAGGTGACGAGTGAAAAGATCTCCAAACCCTGTTAGTACCTTGCTTAGCTTCTATCCACTCTAATAGAGAAGTCTTAGCAATGCCTTTTTTTCTAATTGAGAAACTTCAACTCTTAGGTAAGACAACTCGGTTTCCTCTGCCTGTAAGAAAGATCAGGATTTAACACATTTTGTTGCTTTAGAATAGATAATGGCGTGGCTACCAGATAAGAAGTGCAAACAAGGAGTGGAGTTCGTGCTTGATTCTTTGATTTTTAATAATGCAAACTGCAGGCCGCAACGGAAGTGCTCAGGGCAGAGACCCTCAGGACCCCTCGCGGGTTCCCCATAGCCCTCATCTTCACTTCTTCTCCCAGCCCGGAATTCATGCAAATCATCTTGCTAACCCCCCCAGCAATACAAACCACTTTCGCGCCGTTCGCTCAGGACCGTGCAGCAACATAAAGAGAGAAGTCCTGGAGCCCTAAAAACACCACTTGTTCAAGGCGGATTTTAGGGGATCCCAAGGAATTCACTTGAGTTCAGAATATTTAGCGAGCCTCTTTTATTTCTGGGCTGAGCGGGTCGGGCGCTCGGGAGGGCCGATACCACAGCTTGCAGGACCTGCGCTCCGCCGCGGGAAAGCCGGTCCGAGC